ACATTCAGTGGTGTGCGGAAATCCATTACTTGTAAAGCATTAAATAATATTCTTGTTTCGTTTGGCTTAAGCATATGTTGGTTTTTCTTTTATATATATGATTTATAGTTATTTTGGCTGATTTCAGTTGTGCCGTTGTTAATTACTGTTCTGACACGTTGTGTGTTGTGCGTACTTCAACAATAAGTAAGGCCATAGCGTAGCTTTTTGTGGTGGAATTGTTCAGGAGTGTTTACCTGGGGCGTGTCATTGGCTTTTGTGAATGACTTAACACTCATTGCATTTTTCTGGGACACCTTTTCTATGCATCCCAGCCTCTTGTTTCTTTTGTTTTTAACTGAGACTGTACTGAGAACTCCATCAATGTGTCCTCAGGGAATCATTTTCTCTTAATGCTAAACCTGTTGGAGGTTTTGAGAAGTTCAAAGAATCTGCTGCTGTTCTAGTTGATGGTTGAATTTAAGAACATAATCGGTGAAAAAGCTCCTCCCAAATGTACTGGGATACTGCTGCCACTAGTTTTCCAGCTTGAAACAGTAATATAAAGGGACAGCATGCAAATTGATGTTCTTAAGATGCTGGCTGTTCAATTCAAATTGTTGGTTTAATGGAGCACTGAATTTAAAGGAGAATAAAGTGGCCCCAGGAGCCAGTCAGATTGATGCTCATGTTGAAGTTTATATTTTTTTGCTATTCTCTAGGGCTGCTTTGTTTTTAAACCGAGTCCCAAGAAGAGAAGGCTGTCTCAGAATACAGGTTAGTGCATTTTGCTATATATTGCTATACTTGGGTTAATCCTGGAAGGGTGACCGCATCTGATTGAATATTGTCATAGCTGTGTGAGGATTTCTGTTGCTCCTTAATGTTGATATTGCTGAAAATTAGGTTTTTTTCAGAGGAACCCCAGCAAATTGTTGGCTAGTGTAAATGTTTTTTTCATTGCCAGCAGTCAAGATTGTATAGCTATCTTTGTCTTTGCAGATTTTTTTTTTTACAGGAGAACTGTTTTCCATGCTATCATAAATTGTTGACTGACTGACAAACTATTTATCTGAAGAGTCTGAATGAGCCACTTTTGAGCTATGGGAGTCAGAAATTATATCTCATTACAGAGTCTCATCATATTCTTCATAGTTTGCCTAAATTTCTTGAGGAAAAGAAGACAGAAAAGCCATTTGTGCTAATTCCGTGGTTTCTGTCCACTAGTGTTTGTTATATATATTTTATTTTCTCCAGGCTATATGCTGCGTATGCAGGTCTCTTGTCATTTGAGGAAGACTGAACAGGACTGGCTCTTGTTGGAGCCAGAAATAATGCTTCTTAAATAGTTGCTGTTTGAGACTCAGTTAGGAAACTAACTGTTCTTCCCAAGTTCAACTTTTTTTGGGGCAGCATCAGAGCTGTCGAAAGCTGTGACAATTTATATTAAAAAAGTGGAGGGGAGAGTAATAAGGCCAGGTTTTTGTGGAAATCACCACAGATTCATTCATTACCAGAGGGACTTACTGTAACACCTACTTTAAAAATTAGTCACAAATTATTTTTTATGTGAGAGTTGGCATATCTGTAGCTCAGGGAATGAGAAGGAGGGAAACAGAACCCAGTCTGTCATTCCAAGTCATTGCAAGATAAATAAACCAACAACCAAGATCTATGCGCTTAAACCACACTGAATTTTTACACCTTACTGGATATTATGTTTTCATTTTCTCAAGATTAGTAATGCTTGGTTAAATCCTACTGAACATGTTTTTTCTAGTTAGCAATGTTTTGAGACAGAAAGATAAATTTGCCTGAACTACCCCCTTAAGGAGAGGCAGAGGTGAGCTGGTTTGCTCACAACAGTTCGTTAGAATGATGGTGTAAACAAACAGTGCTTTGATGTGCATCTTTCCGGTTTGGAAGCCCAAACCTGTCAAGTGTGAAGTTTCAGGTGTGAAACTTCACAGCGTCTATAGTTGATAATACCGTTGCACCCCACCAAAGGCCTTCTGTGCACCTATGGTTTGAGTTTCGGTAGTATAAAAGGAAAATTATGCCTTGTTATATTATCAGTAATGTGGTGGCTGGATTTTCTTTAACTGAAAGCCTAAGACCTGTGTAATCAGAGTAGGTTATGTATTTTAAGTTATTTTTCTTGGAGGTATAAATGATGCGTTAGATTAGGGGAAACCATGACTGAGGATGAGGGATACCTCTTGTTCTGTATTTACAGAGCTATTTTGGGTGTTTTCAGTGTTTTGGGGGATTGAATGTGCTCGGCAACTGATTCTTTTCTGAAGATCAGACCAGTGCTGATGCTTCATTAAATGGCCACTAAAAGGACATTAATGACTAGCAAATTAATTTTTTTATATGTTGCCTGTTAGCAACAGTTAGCAGGCTGTTTACTTAACCTTCAGTGTTTGTGTTCTTCCAGGTGGTGTTAATGAAGCATTACACCAGGCCTGCTGAGTGTATGCTGGGAGTATAGAGATGGTTCCAAGCCTGTGCTTTTTTGTTTGTTTGTTTCTTTCTTTCTTTTTAGGGGAAATGTAGACTGTGTGGATGTGGGAGGAAAAACAATGAGAAAAATCCCACCCAGTTCTATTAGTTTCTATTCAGTCTCCCATTTTACTCCCAGCTCTCTTTCCTTCTTAGTTGGAAGCTGGTGGAGACTTTCTGTACTCACATCTGTGAGGCAGAGCAGCACCTAGGTAGCCAAATATATTTGGAAAATGTGCCCAGGTAATTTTTTACCAAGAAGGATCTGATTCTCCTTTCCTTTTTCATAGTGAGCGTGTGTAGAAGTGAGAGGCAATTTAGAGGTGCGCCAGAAATGTAGGCCTGGTTTGTGCTTAAAAGTTTTTCTGGCATAGTTGTGTTGGTTAAATGTATTTTAAAATAGTAAATAAATCTGTGTTTCATGTAACCTGACTGTCCTTTCCCAGTCTACCTTATTATTTTCAGGAAATTGGTTTTAGCTGCGTCTTCTCTGGGGAACAGAAAATATTTTCGTGTATCTGTTCTTGCAAGCCTTTGTGGTTCATATCTGACTGTAATAGTGAAGGAGGATTGAATATTTAATAGGTGAAAAAGACCCACAGAACTTTCTGAAGCAAGGGAAAAATTTTAAAAATTTTATTTTAATAATAAAGGCTGTTTGCTCTGATTTAGCTCACCTGGGACTTCAGATGGAAGCCAGTTCTTTACCTTTTGCCTGCATGCTTAGATAACAGATTCTGCTTGTTCCCTCACTTATTCTACCAGATACCGGCAGTTAATTAATTGGTTAAGAGAAAAGTCATCTCCCTCAGATATATGCGTATACTAAGATGTTAGTTTTTCAGTCAGGTGCTTTGTTTTCTTCTCAACAAAGAGATTTGTTTTAATGATCTTGTTTGTGCTTGCCTTTGCTTTCAGTCTTTCTAGATAATGATTTCAGGAAAAGTAATGATTCAGAGGATACTGAGTTGCGGTTTGTTACTTGTCAGTCTTTATGGAATCAGATCAAATCGGAAACAGAGGTGAGTCTTGCACCGAAGACTAAAGTAGTGGTTTGCATTTATAACAACACTGCTTGCTGCTTTGTTTCTGGACATCTTATTTTTTACGTGCTTAAAAGGCAATTAGTTAAAATGTTAAAAGGGCCAGAAATATTGACTGAAACTGAAATCCCTGTCAGAATATAAAATAGTAATAATAAATCCATCAATTACACATTACTTCTAACCACACAACTACATGCTTTTGATGCTTCAAGCTGCTGCTTCTAAGCTCTTCTTACTAATTGTCCTTTTTATTAATTCCTGGCATCCTGCTGTTTTCTCCTTTCAGTTCAGTTACATGCTTGCCAGCCCTCTGAGGATTTTAGGTTACTCTTGACCTCCATGTTTCAGAGTTTGTAACAGCCCAGGATTCACAGTGGATTGATGTGAATACAACTGCATGGATGTCGAATACTGAATGACATGGCTGCAAGCATAGTCTATTAAATTAGTACAGATAGTGTCAGTGGGGTTGTCTGGTAGAGATCAGAGTTAATTTCATACTGAACTGTGGCCTCCTAATTGTTGTGTGTTGGGTAGCTTGCTGTTGTTGTGTCCCTATAGCCAGCTGGCTTGTATTATAGTATTAATAATTACTTCCATACAGCAGGGATTTCCTCTTCTATTCAGTGTCAAGGATTCTGGGCAAGTATTCTGTATTCCTCTGCCTACTGTTGGGCTCTAGACATTTTGAGAATTTTTTTTCCAAAGTTTGTTTTGGAATGTACAGTACAAGCCAGATGGATGTAGCTTACAATCTGGACCCTTGGGCTAAACTCATAAATTCCTCTAATTCTGTTCCTACTATTCCATGATCCAGCTCACTTTGACGAGTCAGCACCCTTTTCAAACTGTAGCTAGCCAGACTGAGCAAAGCAGTGTACTACATGCTGGTGCTGACTATAGAGAACACACCGAAATTTGTGGAGGTATACTTGGTATCTTCCTGCCAACTGCTTCAGCTTGACAGGTTAGCTGGCAGCATTGGCAGTGATGTTGGCAGCTGCACCAGAAACTCCCTTGTATCGTCGACTGTAGGGAAGATGACATTCTGTAGCTACTTCTGGAAGACATTTCTTGGATCTTCTTTCTTTGACACAGTGTTGTCAAGGCTTTTGAGACAATGCTTCTACATCACCAACAGTGCCTGCAGGATTTTTAGTTTGAAGAAGTGTTGGGTTTTTTTCATAGTGCTCTGTAAGGATTTCTCCCACAGCAGCAGGCACTGTAGCAAGACACAGCCCATTGTAGCAAAAGCCTCCCTTAACCACTCAGAAGCACAGAGCCATTGCCATCTGCAAAATCGTCAATCTTTCCTGTTCTAAATCTCCTACCCTTCTTTTCTTGAGGCTGCTGCAAGTTTGACAAGTACTTTGTTCTGTTTTTCCTCCTCCTGATGGAAAACAGCTCATGCTACACTGACAAATTGGTGCGGGCCTTGCCTTAGAGTTTGATTTGCCTGAGGGCAGATTACCTGCAGTTACTTTTGCTGATATACATTGAATTTTCTTTATACAGTTTCTGAGGTATATCTGATATTTTTCGTGGCGTCATAGAATGCTTTGGGCTGGAAGGGACCTTAAAGATCATCTAGTTCCAACTTACCTGCCACGGGCAGGGGCACCTTCCACTACTGAGTTCTGAATTACCATCCTTATATCTGACTTTTGGCAAACCTGAAGGTGGTAATTGTTCTTGCTTATAAAATTATGTGATAATTCAGGCTGGAAGGGACCTTAGAATGTCTGTAGTCTGAACTCTTGCTCAAAGCGGCATCATCTGTAAGGTCAGACCAGTTAGGTGTGGGCTTTATCCAGTCAGCGTTTTGTTTCTTATATACTTTCAAACCCTGGTGTAGTAAACCTGCTCCATGGCAGAATACTTGGGAAGTGCATGGCTTGCTGGTTTGGACTTCTGTTCTAGGGCTTCTGGTAGTGTCCTAAGGGATCCTAGCAGGATGTTCTGTGAAGTTTTTGCCAGTGTACTGCTACCTGGCGATTCATTGGCAGGCCATGTGCTTGTGCTGACGTTTTCCCAGTTCTCTGGTATCTGCTGGAGGTATTGAAGAAATTTGACCTCCAAGTACTTTGTTGTGGAGCACTCTTGGCTTTTGTATGTCCATCATAAACTGTGCTGTAGTTGTGGCAGCACCATCTGTTGTCTGATCATGACATCCTTTCAGGCCTCTCACAAAATGAAAAGCTGGCAAAAGTACTGCAGGAACTGTCCTTCATTTTTGGAAGGTGAATTTTGGACCGTTTTTAATATAATATAACCATATTATAATATTTTTTAATATGTAGAGGGTGAAAAGAGTAAAATTACTTTGTGTACAGTTTAGTCAGTTCAGGAGAGCAACAGGAACTTTTCTGTATAATGGAATTGGTATCATGCAATCTCCTGGAGATGTGCCCTTAACTCTTTGGTAGCTGCCTCATCAATGCTGCTAGAGATGGCCTTTGCCACTTCATTTCAAAATAAGTTCACTGCTACGTATGTCACTTCTTTTTGCTTATTAATCTTGATGATTTTATTTGGGGCAGGGGTTTAATCTTGTTTCTATGTTCTAGAGTATATATTGATATCCTGAACTTCAGAGTATAGGGTTTTTTTTTCTGTTCTAGCAGAAGGCATATGTTGGATTACAAACAGATTTTCAAAGGCACATACATAACAAAAGAAATACAAAATGCTTCTACTATATATATCTGCCTTTAAAAATTTTATCTCCACCTGTTTTCTCTCACCTTTCCATATATTCCTGCATATATGTATTCTTGTATGAAAATCATCCCAAAAGGCAAAAGACAGTGTAGCAAATGTGGTTTAGTATTTTTTCCTATAAAACATACTTAATGTTTTCCTTTATTTTTTTTTCTTTAATCCTGAAGTAGATTTGGAGGAGCTGAATGTTTGTTCTCATATAGATTTCTCAGAAAAATGTTTACAGGTGTTCTGTCAGCCAAGAGGAAATAATAGGCATTTTCATGAACATTCTTCCAGAAGCTAATTATAATGTTGTATTCCTCCTATGTCACTTACACTTTGTCAGTATGGTTTTTTCCTCCTTTTTTAAAGCCTGTGGTGTGACAACATAGTTAAGCTCATTTGCTTTCCAAGTTATTGTTGAGGCATGAACCAGAAGTTCCAAGATGGGAAATATCTGTGTTTGCCACACAGTGAATAAATTAACGTATTTATACTTCACAGGAAAACTTTGTGATGCTTAGAATTTTACCCTGAGGTTTTAAGGATTAAAGTTTACACAGGAAAAGGAAAGTATTCTATAAATAAAGTCTCTGTGTGTGTGTTTACAGCAAATACAGGAAGACTTGAATAAGCAGTTATTTGATAACCTAGTAAATTTTTTGAGGCGGTCTCATTCCGAGTTCCAAGAGAAGACAGCAGAATGGACTTGCCGGATGAAGTCCAGAGAAATCCCTACTGCAGCTCTTGTCTTAGGTAATTTTTAAAGACATATTTTGTTATGTACATCTGCTTAAAACTGGCACAGAGCTCAAAGAAGAATATATTGCTTACTTCCAGCAATTACTGTGAGCACTATCAGCTTCAGGAATGTTAACAGAAGAGATTGGGCTGGGAGAAGGAAGTAGGATAAGACCTCTTTCCCCTTTGTCTGTGTGCATAGTAGTGCAGTAAGGTAACACCCAAAAGCCTGTCTTAGGCAGCTAGTAGTGGTTTGTTTGGGGTTTTTTTCCTGATGCACTGGAGATGTTTTGATTCTGTCCCTGTTCCTGCTACCAGCATGCTTGGTGGTCTCTGTGACTAACCATGGAATTCCACAGCTTCTCTCTGATATATGTTCTTGCAGTGCATCTGTATGTGTAGGAAAGCAGTGAGCAGTGTCCTTATCATGGAAAAGGAGCATTCTTTCCTTTTTTCTTCTCCATCATTTTGCTTCCTTTCAGAGGGCTGTAACAGTAATCCTACACCTGGTTCAAAGCAACCTGATTGCATTTTCAGTGGATCATTTTAGGGAACCTAAAATCAGGCCTGTGCTTCAAATCTACTGTGTGAGCACTAACAAAGCCTGGAAGGTAGTCTACTTTTGTAGGTAGTAGAATGTGAGAAGTTTCTGCTCTGAATATTTCTGGGGAAGAAGCTGTGAATTGATTTTCTTCATCTGCAGGCCTTAGATCACTGTGGATGGCTTCTGAGGGTATGAGGAACAGAGAAGTTAAAAAGCTAACCTAATCCTTGTAGGTTTGCACCCTTGAGAAACCTTTCTTTAAAAAAAAAACCCAAACTATATGAGGGATCTTTGCAGTGATTCACTTTTCTTTAATCAGCTAGTATTAACATGTGTGTATAATCTTGTGCTAGTTTTTTATCTTTACTCATACATGAGGCAATGTTTTTCATTGCTTCCTTGAATATTTGAGGTAGCTTCTGGTTTTTGTCTGCTGTTCAGTTTATTGTTCGATCATTGTAGTCACAATCACAGGAGAAATGCCCTTAAAATTTTGTCTTTTTTCTAGGTGTAAATGTTACAGATCATGACTTGACTTTGAGAAGTCTCTCAGAAGTCCTTCAGGATAATGTTACTCCTTATGTAGCCCTGCTGGAAGCCAAAGATTGCCCAGGTAAATACTGCAATACCTTTGCTTCTTCATCTGAATAAGATGTCAATTAACTACAAATTCTAGTTTTTGCCACCAAATGTAAGAATAATGGGTTGGAGAGATCTTGAAGGCTTTCTAAAGATTTGCTCAATCCCATGTTAACGTAGCAGTAATGCCTACTGTATTTTAAGATGTATCCAGTTCTGTTTAAAATGATGAAGATCGGAATACTACTTAATTGTAGCATAAATGTCAAGAGCATGCTGCTCAGTGTACTGCATGTTGATATTGTAGGTTGGCTTTCCTCTTGTTTAATTGGACAGTGTATGTATGCATGACACTTTTAAAATGCCTACAATCACATCATTACAGTGAGGGAATGGGTAGAATAAAATTTAGTCTCACTCTCCTTTTTCATTTTTAAATAAAAAGATTAAAATCATGGCAGCATCCCCAGATCTATGGCTTGGCTGCCTTATTTATGTTTAGGTTGCTAAAAGCATGTGGCTGGAGTTCAGGAAAGGTACAGGGCCAGCATCTTAACCTGAATCATTCCTTTCTAGGCAAATCAGTAAGATAATTTTTATTGCATTAACAACATGCATATTGTGAATACTTTCAAACTTTGTGGGGCATGAGTTATGCACTGTGGAGAGAGAGAACGAGAATAACTAGAAAAGTGAAAAATAATAAGTGATAACTTGGGATAATTTTTTAGAGTATGAGTTGAAGAAGTGTTACTAAATAACCAAATGTCTTCACTATGTGTCTGAAAATGTGTTGTGAAGGCATAAAAAATCTGATACAGAAGCTGATGGGGCAGCTGATGAACTGCTATATAGATGTGGGCTCACTGGAAGACGAGGACTCTGTGCAGGTTTCCCAGAGTAGAATACGTTGTTCAATGACTTCTCTTATCAATTGGTATGGGAATGTAACAAAGGTATGATTTTTTTTTTTTTGTATCACCAGTTTGTAAAAATGCCTGACCTCTAGATGCTTTTGAAGAAAATTGATCACTTAAATTTCTATGCTGTAGTGAAAAAATGCCAGAGGTTAGCTTTTCATTTAATACTAAGAAATAACTGAGATTGAGGTGATTTAAATATAAATCCGTAACACATATAATGTGGAGTTAGCTTCTGATGAGGTATGAATGTCAGAATTCTGAAAAACAAGCAAAAAGTACTATTTTATCATATGGTTAAGTGGGAATTAGAAGCTTAAAATGCAGTATCAACTCCATGCCAGATGCTTTTCTTCCAGCTGTGCTGTGATGTTTTGTTCGGTAAAACAAAACTTTAAGAACAGCCATCTAGGGGAAGGGCATTGTATTAGTGCTGATGTGCCATTATGGTGTCTGCAGTAAGAAAATAACATTGGAAAATAACATTGACAAGCAGTAAGAAAATAACTTTGGAAATGCTTTTGTATCTTTGTATCCTAGCCATTCTATGATTCGATAAGTTTTAAGTGTTGTTTCTGTCATGAATAAAAGCAAGAACTGATTTTATTATTACTTAATCGGAGCAGTGTGCTAAATAAAAGTTTGACTACACGCTCTTTTTGTTACTGGGTAAAGATAAAGGAAATGGGCAACGTCCATGAACACAGCTCAAATCTTTTCCTTCTGTCCCGACAGAATTTCACCAGTTCTGTCTTGCAAAGCTATTATTGTCTTTGCTGGAATGTGGGTTTTAAAAATTTATTTATTCTTTGTACTTCCTGTTGTGCCAAACAGAAGGAAGAAAAAATTGCAATTCTAAATGCTAATAATAAATACAACTGTAGCAAAAAGTCAGTCATGTCACTTTGGAGCATTACAATATCATAGATGTCAATCTTTTTATTTTCCTGCCTTTTGTTTATTAATACATAACAAATGACTTTAAAGAAAACGGATTCTGAAACTCCAAGCAAAAAAACCACTTCCTCTTCTAGACACTGGCAATCTCCTCCAGTTGTAGTTGTATTCAAAGATTTGGAAAGTTTCACCACAAAAGTACTTCAAGACTTCATAGTCATCAGCAGGTAACGTGACCTGAAGTTTAGTTCTTCCACTCCTTTACCCATTTTCTATTTGCAGCTGTTGTGAAGTGTAACAATGCGGTCAGTGGAGAGCTGGAATAAAATATTGATGCTGCTGCTTTGCAGCAGTGATTGAGCAAAACCCTATTTGCTAGGTTTTGGGGATAGATGATCCTAAAGCTGACTTGAGACTGTGAACCAGAGTGCCTAAGGACTTCGTTGAGATATTGGGTGGCTGATTTAATTCTTCATATGAGAGAATTTATTGTCACTAGTTGTTATAGAATTTGTGATTGTGAAAGTAATTTTTTAAGATGCCTAGATCTTTCTTCTATAGACTTTAAAAATTGTTTTCAGGTATTTTGTTTTTATGACTACTGATGTAATGCTGACTGAAGGTTACTACCTTACTAATAGGAGTATATAAAACCTACCCAGATAATCTCTTTGTGTTGGCCAGGATCTGTAATGAGCAGTCAACTACTTCAGGTGCTCCTGTGCCTCTGTCCTTCCTTAACCTGTCTTCCTTAATATTATCTCATGCATTCTAATCAGAAAGCCATGCTGTTCTCCAAAACAGAGCCTCTTAAATTTAGTCCCCGGGTTGAAACTACAGTTGCAGCAGAATTGGGGCTGCCGTTGTACAATTAATTCAGCTGCAGCATGCATACCTCTAAACAAAGCTATGCAATTTCACCTGATGAGAGAACCACAAAAAAAATATTTTTCTACTTCATGTCTGGAGGATGGGTTCTCTGGGGAACATTTCAAGAAGTAAAATCAGAAATGTACGATTATCTGGAAATAATTAGGATGTAAGGCAGAGAAAAATGAGGTTTTATTTGTTTTTTAAGTGTTGTGTTTTATTTTGCTTTTTGTGGCAGTGCTTAATTACGAGCATGTGGAATGCAACTGAAGTGCAGTCCAGGTCTCTCAGTCTACTATTTGCAAACACACTTTTTTTCGTAGACCATGTGTCTCTTTAGAAAAAAAATTAAAGGGATTCAAGTGATGATATAACTAAAGATAGTCTTGATTAAAGTAAAGTAGAAGAAATGTAAAACAGAAGCTCTCTGGAGCTGCATAACACTTGGAAAAAGATCTTTGGGATAATTGCAGATATTAGGTTTATTCTTTCTATTTCACTCTTAAACATGTTTAATAATAAGGGTGAAGTGGGTAAATATGAGAGGTTCTGATTTGATAATCACAGGATTCGGTTTCTCTCTGATATTATTTTAGGTTATCAACAGTGGACAGAAATATATGATATTTATTGTTTTTATGTTTAAGTCTCTAGCAATGACTTTTGAGGATTTAGAGAAATAATTGTGGGGTAACAGTTGAGACACAAAGGTCAAAAAGTTGCTGTGGTGGAAACAGAAGAAAGGAATAAATTGTCAATTTTAACCTAGATGATGTTTAGGATAGCAGAATTTGTATCTCCTTGAAACTAATAAAAAATAGAAAATAATGATTAAATAATACTGAAAACATGGTATTGTTTATAATTTGTATGCTGTGCACAAGGAATGCAGCATTCAGTCCTGGATATCAGTTCTCAAAGCATATACTAAAAAATTATCTGAAGAGGAAGATTGAATCTAGAGAAGTTGGAATTCTTTTTTTTAAGTATAATGAGGCCATAGTACATTAGAGGCGTTTCATATTTACTTTAAATTTATTAAATGGTGTAAAATTTGTAAATTTTATTGACACTGTTAGCTGTTATTATTATTTTTAGCTTATTTTTTAAATTATTTTTAAGCTTTTTTTTCCGTATTTCTTTAAAGAAAAAAAAAAATTATAAGGTTCAATTCTCTGAATATAACTGGGGGAAGACAGGACCAGTACAGTACTCCAACGGAAAGGTGCTTTTTATGCGACTTCCTATGTGAATCCTAAAATTTAATTTAAGTTGCTTTTCTACTTCAGAGCTTTAAATAGCTTCCTTTCTTTTTCATTTTATTCCACATCAGCAGTCTTTTGATTTACTAGGAACAGATCTTTAATTTACCCCTTTATGCATCCAAGCTCAGTGCTGTACTAGGAACATAATGCATTTGTTTCATGATTTACTATAATGTAACTATTATGTTTTTTTCTCCCTTCCCCCTGATCTAGTCAGCATATCCATGAATTACCTCTAGTACTGATTTTTGGAATCGCTACATCTCCAATGATTATCCACAGCTTACTTCCTCACTCTGTTTCCTCTCTGCTGTGCATAGAGCTTTTCCAGTCCCTTTCCTGTAAGGAGCACCTGTCTACTATAATTGACAAGGTAATTCCCTTTCTAAACAGGAGGAGTGTGTGTGTATTCCAGCACAGTGTACAAGTGTGGCCTTTTAAAGTAGGTTTATGTGAAGCTTTTGAAATAGAATCTGTTCCTGAGAGGTATGGATTTTGGTTATTTCCACTCGTAGCTGCAGAGCAGCTTAATACTGAGAGCTTCCTTCTCACATTGAGACACACTCACACACCTGCTTTCATCTTTCATTTTCTTGACATCTGTGCATACATAGTTGGGCAATTACACTTTGACATTCCCACCTCTTCGTTAAAGCAGTGCTTTGATTTGAGTTTTACTTTATTCCGGAAAACATAGCTTTAAACATAGAAAAATTCAGTTCAGCTTGAATTTTGCTGCCTGTCAAGAACAAGCAGTTATCCAAATGGTCAAGCTGTATAGATGCTGTGTCTGTGCAAGTCTCAGTACACAGCTTTGTGCAGGATTTCCCAAATTGTCATTACAGATGCTGAAAGCAGTGGTATCCCTGGTTATTACAGCAGTCTCTGATCTGTTTTTTGTAATTTTAAAAGTAAAAAAAGAAATAGTGTTAAGCAAAACTAACTTCAAATATTGCATATTAGTAGAAGGTACTTACAAAAACGTGGTGTAATAGTAAACTGAAAATCAGTCTTTGCATGGGTATTTTAGTAGAAGAATTGTTTTTAGAAGTTGGCAGTGCATTTAGTATCTCATTTAGTTGAATGCTAACACATACTGACAGTTGTATCAAATTGTATATATAAATTGTGCTGAGTTGAATTCTGGAAAGAATTTCTGCTATGGCTACTTGTCCTTTTTGTCTCCCTTAGCTGCTTCTGACACCCCAGTTTCCATTTAAACTGGGTGAGAAAGTTCTGCAGGTTCTCCTCAACATATTCTTGTACCATGATTTTTCCGTCCAGAATTTTATCAAAGGATTTCAGGTAGGCAGTGGTAACAAGAACTCTTCCTTTGTTTTCACAATCATAGTTTAATTACTAGGCACTGAAAGATTTCTTAGGTCCTAATCTTGCTGTCACTGACTTGGATGAAAAAATGTCCTTTGGGAAACAGTTTGGATCTGTGAACAGGTGGGTGTTTTAAAGTTTTAACTTCTAAGGTTTTAAGGGAAAACTTGTAGGGCAGGTATGAAGAAGAACGTAAAAGCTTTCTCTGCCACAAAACCCCCTGTATTTAGAGGTTACATTTAAAAGGGTAACCTGTCTTAGTGGGTAGAAAGACCTATATTTTGCTGTAGATTACCTTGTATCTTCTAACACCCTGGCAGAACTCTCCAGCTCTGATCCTCTGTGCCAGATCCTTGTACTCTGGTTTGTCATGGGGTGAGTAGGCTGCAGCAGTGTCTCTTGCCCACTTGAACTCCTCTGGCACAGTTTCTGGATGAACACTTCTTAAGTTTTTAGGGAAATAGGAGCTGTAAGGTCACTTACTTTGTGCCTCAGAGTAGGTGGTACTTGTGCTCCAAGCAGCCTTGCAGCAATGTGGGAGTTAAATTTACCCTCTCAAGAGAAAAAGTGGAAGACTTTCAGGTTTCTAAAAATAGTCTGTCCAGAGCATGATAATTATATTTTTATTGGCTTATATAGATCTTCATATTTCTGTATTTCAGTGTCATGAGTCTCCTTGTATCTTTTGTGGGTTGCAGAGAAGAGTTCTCTGAAGAATTTGTAGTCCCTGTAATCTGTTTTAGTGCAGGATTGTGAGATTGTTTATTTCTTGCCTGGTTCAACGAGTGAACCTGTTAGTGAAACATGCCCTTTTAGTACCATATACCTTTTAGAATGCCTCAGATTCTTCAGTATCTAAGATTTAGTGATTATACGTGACCAGGAGAAATATCCTGGCTGTAGTACTTCTTCCTGCAGACAGACCTGCATGGGCTTTCATAGGTTTCAACTCCTCTTATTTGAAAGAGTCAACAGGATTTAATGATTCCCCATTGATCTGATACAAAAATACAAGTCCTAGTCCTGACAGTGTATGGCTGTGTCCTCGTGCATTAAAAGCATTCAAGGATGAAGCAGTTTCAGATCAGATCTCCTAAGTGGTAGATAAAAGGGATCACCATAGTCTCATTATGCCTATGAATTATGTTAACTTTTCTAACAGGAAGTGTTTTTCCCCTTTGACAGTTCCTATGTTTTAAAAGTTTTTAGTGAGATTGTCTGTTCGGGTTTTTGGTATTTTTTTTGAGAATGGATGTGATGAGTATATGCTACTATTCTGCAAGGCCCTGATGCTACAAACATTTAGTGCAGCTGAAATCAGTGATAAAGTGCGTTTGTACGTATGCATAGTAAGAGCTTATCAGTGTATTTTTGTGTACATGAAATAGAAATCGAAATTAGGACATATGATAAGTTTGCTTGTCTACAGAAGTTGCTTTATAGATCTTTAAATATACTTTAATATTTGTGAGCATTGGAGCTGAATATATAGCCTAAAGAATGCAGTGATTCACATAAGTTAATAGAAAATATTTGACAAGCTGTAGTTATTGTCACGTGAGAGGGAGGAAGGATGAGGTACTGAATACAAACAGCGCATACAGCAAAAAAGGTAATTACGTGACTGTATTTAAAACTGATTAATCAGTGTCCTACAGTGACTTATGGAATATTCATGAGCTGTAATGCATATTTTTTTAAAGGAATAACATTAGTACCATTGTAGTATATGCACTGTAGTAATAAGAAAACATTAAAAGGTAGATTTACCAGGGAGGATGACTTTTATTAACATCACTGGTTCTTGCTTTGTTTTTCAGCTCTGTGTTGTGGAGCACTTCTATTCCCAACCTCTTAGTGTACTGTGTTGCCAACTGGTAGACAGTAAGAAGAGAGTAAATTCTTTATCGCATGATCAGTGTGAAAACATTCGAAGACTGCCCTCCTTTAGAAGGTAAAAGGAGCAGTAAATTTTTGGATAATATTGTAGTTAGCTTTAAAAAAGATTAAAGGTGTCTGTAAATGTAGCTCCATGACAACTGTAGATCACTTGTGTATACGTTTCTATAGAAAAGGTAAATTGATCAAAAGGAGGACAGTTCTAAGTAATTTCAGGAAGCCTTAATCTTCTGATCTAGAGAGCACAGCTTCTGTGATGTGCAATCACTTGAACTTTTTTTTGCTCTTGTTCTAAATATAGAAACAAGCTATTATGACAAATAACCATAAATCACGTTTGAACTTGTTAAGCTGACTGGGAGCATAATCTCCAGGGTTTTGGAGTGACCTTTCAATTTGCTGGATTTGGCTGTCTCTTCTTGAGTCTTTCCAACGAAGCATTTCTAGCAGCATAAACTTTTTTAATTTTTTAACCCTATAATCTTTAATCATACTTTACATTATAATTTCTGTAATTTTTTTTCTTGCCATCAGGTATGTGGAAAGGCAAGCATCAGAGAAACAGATTGCACTGCTGACAGCAGACGACTTCTTAAAGGTAAAATTTTAAGAATGTCTTTGGAGAGCAAAAATAACTTTCCCAATATATTAGTTTGTGGAGGCTAAGATGTGTAGTTCTGTAATAGCATCTGTCGTACAGTACGTACTGTGTTTTTCATGTCCAGTAATGGAGAATTAGAATTGGCCAGTCAAAATTCTGAATCTCTAGGGTTGCCAGATACACCTTTATACAAAGCTGCACAACTGTTCTTACATCAATTTTTAGCTGTATATAGAAATATAACTGCTTAAAAAGAAGGTTACAAGGTTAATTTATGGTATGGTCTTTTAATGCTTACTCAGACTGACTTTATTTGAAAGTCAGTGAAGTATTTGAAGAATGAGTGGGTAATCTTGGAGGTTATTTCATAAGCTCTTAATCCTCCATATGCTCTGTGTAGTTTCTGAACTCAGTAGGGCAGTCTAGGTCCCAATGAGGCACACATTTGTCCTAGATGTCGTACAGGATTAAAACTTTGATTTATGTTACATGTTCATCTGAAGGTTTGTCAGGTGATTAAAGTCAGGCTACTACTGTTGTGAGCCCTTTAGGAATACCCCAAAAAAAGATCTCTTGGTTATTTTCACCAGCTCGACCACTCCCAGTAGAAGCATTGCTCAGGGTAAAGGGTTTCTTCTAACTCTTCATCTCAAGTATAGTTAACCTGTCAGGCAAATGGTACTACTACATTTAAATCAGATAATTCCTGGTCTGTAAGGTTTTTGCAAGTGTGAAGAAGAACAATGGTAATGGCTGGAAGAGAGGTTGGTAGCAGGCGAGTTTGCAAGTGCAGTGCAATTATGGTGTTGAAGGTGAGGCATAATTTATATATGATTTTATGATCCGTAGTCTTCAACAGGAAAAGTAGCTTAAGCTACTGCTGTTCTCTTGCTGTATATTCCCACCTCAGCAGAAGTGCCAGCACAACTGCTTGTGTGGCTATGCAATGAATGTAATCAGAGAAACAATCTAATTAAAATAACCTGACAAAAAAAAAGACAAGACATGGGAATTTTTTTGATGGGTTGTTTCTGCAGAATGATTTCTGCAGCGCAGTTCACTCTGCAGGGGCATAAATGCTTCTATTGAAACCACATGAGGATGGAAGGAGTGGGAGTGAGCAGCTGAGATTCTGTTTAAAGATCATGTAATGGGCTGCTACTTTGAAAGTTGATTACTCATCAGCTTAAACTTTATATGTTTTAAACTTTATATGTTTAATAATATACCCCTTATTTCACAAGCTTCACCCTGTAAGTTTGGGAAAGAAACTGGAATTCTTGTGCTTATGTGCGTGTGATTCTTCTGACATTTTAATTGAAGACACTTGATCTAATCTCTGCCATAGGGGTAGGACCATTATTGCACTGCCAAGCTGGCAGCATAGTCTGCCTGGGGGGAAAAGGCCCTCTCGCTGCATTAATGAGGTGCTGTTTATTCTGTATGTTGTTCTAATCTACAATATCATTCTAAACTTTGGAAACACTTTCAAAGGCACTGTGATACTACTTCATATACATTTACTGTTCATGTTCAGGACCAGGTAAACTCGCTGTTCAAGCTTAGCACCTAAACCCTTTGTCAGCTGCAGTTTATCTTCCATGTTGTTAACACTTTTTTAAATAACTATCCAAGGAGTTCCACCTACTTAGAATAATCAGTTTTAAAAGCAACTTTACATCCTAATCACTTAAAACTCTGAAAGTTTTCATGGCAAATTTTGTTTGAAATTATGTAAATGTGGTGATGTATATTTACGGAATAACATTGCATAGTCTTCTAGTAATGTTTTCAAACTCTCATAAAACAGAATATGCCTTTTCACTCCATTGTTTGACAAAATACATAGTCCTACTATTCAGATATTTTAACTACTTCAGTCTTGAGCTGGGAAACAAGATGAAGGAAATATAGATGCTATAATGCTCTGTGTTTAGGGGAATAAGATTGATGTAGGAGCATTAAAGAGAACTCGTTTTCTTCTCAGCTTTTTTTGTGGTGGGGTAATTTTTTTATTTTTAATGATCTTACTTAGAATTAAAATACAGACTTGTGAGTGTCTACCCTAGGGTCTTGGAAGTCATTTAAACAACTGTTATATTGGTGACCCTTAAATTTTAATTTTAATAGATACAAAGTCTATGGGGAAAAATATCTTTAGTGATCTCAAACATATTTTAACATCAGAAAGCTCTCTGCAGCACTGTCTCTGTTACTTTCAGTATTTGCAGTATGATACTTAATCTTTCCACATCAGTACTTCCTTATATTGCCTGCAGATAAGGTTTTGCTTTTTTTTTTTTTTTAATCTTTGATACCCTTTGTGTCAGTTTAACTTTAGAGTAAACTTCAGTGGCTTGTTATATTTTTCTCTTTCCATTTGGAATAGTTTGCTCAGAGTTGAACAGAATGGCAATAAAATATGTAGAGAATCCTGTGGGTTTTTTCCTCTTTATCTTTGACTGAAGACAGGTGAAAGAAGATCTTCTGATTCACAAACTTAAGAGCCCAAAGTACTTTAAATACAGCTACCAGAAATTTTGAGTGTGCTTTTCCAGAAGTGTTACATATGCTTCCATGGGAGGCCAGTGATAATGAGATGCCATCCAGTAAATTCACTAGCAGCAGTTAATAATCCTTTTTTCCTAATATATGATTTTTTTTCTTAATTTCTCAATCCATGAATAAACAGAAATCAAATTAAGAGCGCATAGGAGCAGCGACTGCGTATTTCTGTATTTTCTGTGAACTGCTCTTTGTGTATACCTAACTAATAAAAACAGCAGCCACCCACAATATAAGAAATAAATTTTTAAATGCATTTGTAATATAAAAATGCAAATAAGGTTTTGAGTAAAAGCAGTTATGTAATTTCTCATTGCCTAGTAAAGGTATAGTCTCATTTTTGCAGGATGACATACCAAATCTAAAGGCTAAATATAGTTGAAAATGGTAAAATAATAACGCTAATCAATAACAATTCTCCAGTGAGATAGAGGAAGAAAGTAAAGTTAACAATTTGCAATGTGATTGCAGTGAACTGTTGAAATAGAGCTTTTTTGCATAGTGGTCTTAATTTAACACTGGTGATTTAGATCATAGCACACCACAATGTCAAAATCTAAGAGTAATTTTGATTTCTTAGTGAGAGTTTTAAATAAGTGTATATCAGAATGACTTAAAACAATTATTTTGTCACTGCAGGAAACAATACAGAAGTTGCTGGAGGAGTTGCATGTTTACCATGAAAACTATGTTCCAGTTCTGAGATGTCTTCATGTTTTCACATCATCTCTTCCAAAGTATCCTTTGGGCAAGCAGGTGATGTACTCTTATCCTGTTTTAATGAAACATGGGGTTTTTTGTTTTGAAGTATGACATCTGAATAAGTATTTATTCTTTGTCTTTGTTTACTATTCTGCTGCTTTGCCCCCTACTTCTTAAAACGGAGACAGATGCTTTCTTGCTATGGGCAGAGGGCAACAGCATGTGGTTTCTTTAGCGGTGTGTATGATACCTTGTCAACAGGAAGGTGTTTCCAGAAGGAGGCAGATGCACAGATTGGCAAAAGAATCCAAACATGCACTTTGCCACATCTGGGATTATCTGTATGCATTGCAGACAGTGTCTACTCTTCTACCACCTACTAGCTTGCTAGTCAAATTCAGATGGAGACAGTGTTTTAGCAGCCTCCTGTACAGAATAAAACTATAGTAAGGACACTGTGATAATTGTTCTTAATAGCCATATTGCTCTAATATCATTAAATCCACCTTCTTTTGCTAAGCAATTTCCTCTTCCACGGGAAGACCCATGTGTTCTGTGATGTGCACTTGTCTGTTGCTTCTCAGTGTATTACAAGAATCTGTCCATGACTACAAAATCAGCATGAACTGTCCCAGTATTTCAGAATAAAAAGGTGTTTAGCTGGGGCAATTGATTGGAGTTCCTTTCCATTCTCCGCAGTTATCCTCATCTGAATGTTCGTTGTTTGAAACCTGGTGTAGAGAACACATAGACTCCAGCAACACTAGGAGCTTAGTTCTCTAAGATACTAAATGCTCTCATTTCTTTCGCAATCATTCTGCATCTTTGGAAAACAAGCTCCAAAGGAATTACGTATCACTTTGAAAAGCTTGTTCCACATTACTTTGTTTGTAAAACACTTTATCCTCTTTTCACCTTCTGCATAACAGATCAGGGAGCTTCACTGTGCATGTTTGGAAAACCGAGTGTGGGAGACAGAGGAGTATGAGTCATCACTTCAGCTAGCAAGGTAATTTTTTTTTCCATTTTGTTTTAATAGCACCGTACAATGGAGAATACCAGTCATTGGTTATTCTGGAACTTAGAGCTGAGGATATTAACATGTTCACAGCTACTTGTAGGGTTGTTTGCAGGTATAATTGACTGCTGGTTTTATGTTGTCTTTCTACTGTTTTCCATGAAACTTAACCAGGTTCTAATATCTCTTATACCCTGAGTAATTATGCTGAAACCACTGAGATTGCTATGTGTGAATGAGAACATCAGCTGGGTTTTGTCTTTGAAAGTATGATTGTGCTAGATATTATCAACTAAATTATTAGCTTTAGTTGGCCTAAATTTTAATGTTGTAAAAATTAGAATCTGTTCCAAGTGAGTAGCTGAGGCCTTTTTTTTTTTTTTATTTCACTGCTTTTGCCTTGCCTCCTTTGTCTAGCAGTTTATACAGGAACTGAGTTAGTTTTTTGTGTTATTGTGAGCTTAGGACTTTAGGAGAGCCTACACTTGTGTTGTCTGTCAGTGTTTAAAATTGAAGAGTCATCTAAGCCAGTTTTCTTAGTTGAAGACCTTCAAGTCCAGTGTTCCAGCTACAGATTTTTAAAAGTGCTTTATCATGGCAAATGGCTGTTGCCTGATAGCTGTACTCATTCAAGTAATACATCAGTTCTGTTACATGAGGAACTGGTGCAACACTGTTACCATAACTGCCTCTCTACCAGCCTGTGAGCTTGTGAGGTTTGATGTGTCTGACAGTAAAATTGCATAGGAAAACCATGCCAGTGGTGGGTAGAGGATAGCTTTCTGGGCTCATATACACAAAGAAACAATACTTCAAACTGCACCTTTGCCAGAGTGGTTCTTAGGCATTGCCACTGCGCTGTTCTTTACCTTATTTCCTTTGAAAGGATTGCATGCTTGATTGCTCATTTCTACAGTCTTTCCTTCTTAATCCTTCTCTGACTCTTCTGAATCTTGACAGTACTTTTTTTTTCCCCCCTTTGCTCAAGTATGGAAGTTACTCACTGTTCCTTAATACCTTTGACTTCTCAGGGCCACATCATCTGCTACAGATACCCTTGTGTTCACCCTTTCCCATCTCTTATTCTTCTTTTCAGTGTTTTTCTGCAGTCTATCGAGTAAAAAGTAGAGAAGCTTTTGATCAGCTTGTTTCTCAATTTGTAACAAAGTCTCTCTTTTGCCCTTCATGAATTGTTTGAACATGGGGTTTTCAGTTGCACTGAGTTCCTTTTGTGGTTGGTTGTTTTTTTCCCCTACTTCAGCCTTTCCTTGGACTTTTTATCCCTTCTGCTAACAGTGCTCTCCACAAAGATGGTGGTTCAGGTGATCTAACTTTAGCAATCTAGACAATAGTTATTCTTCTTCAAGCTAGTTGTCTAAAAATATCTTGGAGAGACAGAGGGAGAGCGTGTGAGCTTCAGTTCACATGGGATTAATCCAGTCAGAAGAGAGATAAGATTCAGACATGTCGGAGAGTGTCTCAGTTTATTGGTTATGGGGAGCTAACTGGCTGGGACATCTTGTCAAGATTTTAGGTGGCAAAACAGAGGACTATCTGATGTGTTGTCTTCTGTCTAGATACTGTGCTCTGTTTTTATCTGATAATCATTGGTGTCATTCATCACACGCTGCTTATCACAGTCCTGCCCTTCTGTGACTGTTGTCATTTTGGTGTTGACCAATCGCTGTTGTCACTTGTTCAGATGATTCCCCACTTCAGCATTCAGAAGGACTTTCTATGGACTTCATCCTAGCTTCCTTCCTTGTCTTTCATAACTTGTCTCAGAATAATCGGAGACAGGTTTATTTACTGTCTTTGTCTGATTCAGATCTTCCTTTCTGCTTTGATCCTGTCTCCTAACCGAATTAAAATCTTAACCCCACTGTCTTGATACCTGGCATACTTTGCAGTCATCTCAAGCCCAAAAGTTTTAAAAGGATCCTTTACTGTTACCTGATATATAGAATCATAGAATGGTTTGGGTTGGAGAGGACCTTAAAGATCATCGACTTCCAACCCCCCTGCCATGGGCAGGGACACCCTCCACTAGCCCAGGTTGCCCAAAGCCTCATCCAGCCTGGCCTTGAACCCCTCCAGGGATGGGGTGTCCACAGCTTCTCTGGGCAACCTGTTCCAGTGCCTCACCACCCTCACAGGGAAAAATTTCTTCCTAATGTCTAATCTAAGTCTTGCCCTCTTCCAGTTTAAATCCATTACTCCTCATCACTACACGCCCTTGTAGAAAGTCCCTCCCCATCTCTCCTGTAGGCCCCCTTCAGCTCCTGGAAGGTCACTGTAAGGTCCCCCCTAAGCCTTCTCTTCATAACCATCCTCTTGACTGTTCTTCATGTCCTGTAATCCCATTGTTGTCATAAGTAAGTTTTTTTTTCTAAAACTTGCAGCTTCTTTTTGAATAATATTACTAAAATAAATCTGTTCTTTCCCGTTCACACATCTCCAAAACTGCTTATCGTCTCTCTATCTTAGGTGTTTTATTATTGCAGTATTTTCTTTGGCCTGGAAGAATCCTGTCTTGTTTACACATTGTATTCTACAAGACAGTTTCAAAATGTTTTCCAGCCTTTTTGTATGGTCAAGGTCACCCTTTCTGTTGTTAACTCCTGATGCTTTTCTGTACAAAACAAGTGTCTCTGAAGGCAACACCTGACTTAAAAAAATCCATAACCCTGAACTGGATAAACTAACGTTTCAAATTCTATCCTTTACAAGCATTTAGCATCAAATGTCAGATAGAAACTAGAGCTGAAATTGCAATTGCCCCTCCAGACATCTATAAGGCTGCCCCAGCCTCTTCTAAGTTCTTCCTTCAATCTCTCTTAGTCAATACTTAGGTAGCTGATATAGAGGACCCACTGCCTGACACACTGATCACCATCACTTCATTCTTTTGTCATGCTCCCTTCTTTGTGAAGCTGTATTTTTTGTGTCTCCTAAAATCCTTAAACTATTAGCACCTTTGTTTTTTATTTTTGTATTAGCACCTTTGTTTTGTATACGGCAAAGCAAAAACACAAGAATACGTGGGATTGGCTCTTAGTAACAGCTGCTATTATGAATGTGTGATTGTTCAGAACCGGAGTGTTTAGCAATGGGAGCCTCTCCCACTGCAAGAAAAAACTTACGTGCATGTGTAATAGTACTGGCTTGATGCAGTGACTTGATGCAATGACTGTAATTCTGGATTTCATTTATGGATATTTTCAAAGATTTGCTTTGATATCTTTTAAAGGAAGATTCTGAGACTGAGCAGTGTTTGGTGACATTTATAAAATGCCCTAATACATAACTGAAAGTAAGTAAATGCTAGGCTGGAGGTTAGGCTACATGATCTTAAGAGGTTCCTTCCAACCTGAAGGATTCTGGGATTCTAGCGATGGATAGGTTTATAGCAATTAAATACAGAAAACAGCAATTTGGATTTTGTTTGAGAATCGTTCTGAATCACAGAGTAATTGATTTTTTTGGATGTGTGAATACATACTAATCTGTTTGTGTGTTTTGTTTTGGATTTTTACCAGTTCATTTATCATTCTTGGGAATGAGTTATGAATCTTACCATATGTTTTGATTTTTAATCTGACTCAGTTTCAGAAGTTACAACTCTATATCCAGCAAGTGTTCTTAGGTAGAATATCAGAAAAGCTTTAAATTGTCAGTTCTGAGGGAAAATGTGAAGGGCATCTATCCAAATTGATTTGTTTCTGTTAATGACAGCAAGAAAAAAAATTTACTTTACTGCAAGACTGAATGCTTGAAATTTTGGAGGTTTTATCTTCTAAAAGGAGTTTTTCAAATTATTTTTAAACTTTTTTTCAACTAAGAACATTGAAAGCTGTTCCATCGTTCTGAGTTCAACTTCAGCCAACAATTGTGTCTTTTAGGATGTTGAATAAGTCTGATTTGGTAACCATGCTTCAGCAATGTGTGGAAATTTTTGTGTCATCTTCTGGAAAGGAGTTTGATAAGACAGCAGAGAAGTTAGAAGAGTTCTTGACCCAGTTTCAGAAACTAGAAGGTAGGTGTTTACCATCATATATTCCCCATTGCAGATTATATTAAAGCTGTTTTATAGTCTGACCAGTGGGTATCATTTTCCCTGGTGATATCCTGTCACTGGATCAAACTATCAGATTTTTCAGATTATTTTTTTAAATACATGCACAAAATTAGGAAATGTTTATTTTCTTTATTGTTATGTGGTTCATTCTTTTTATAATACGGAAGAGTGATGTAAGATAAGAAATTAGACAGATCAGCAAACATTACTCACTAAATCTGTCATATGTATATCTAGAGTTTTGCCGGATGTTGCAATCATTAAAAACATTTCGCAAATAAAAACAGATATTGAAGATAAACAGGAGCAGACTTCCTTATTATGTGGTATTTAATCAAAATTTATGTGAAGTTCTTTCACCTGCACCTTCAGTTAAATTCCTGTAAGAGCTAGGACACCAAGTGCCAGTTCTCAGTGCTCTGCTGACGTGCTGTAACTTGTCAGGCCCATAGCTTTGATTGTTCATGGTAGAGGACATAGTTGAAAGTTTAGCAAGGCAAATGAGTAGCAGTCTTCTGTCTTCCAGAGGCAGGTGAACAGAAACTGCTCTATTCCTTCTGAAATAGGAATGCGACATCTTCCAGAATTCGTCTCCTTCCCCTGAACTATGGAGAAGTGCTCCCCTGTGATTCCCTTTTGAAGATACAGTGGTTATCATCTGGTCTGTTTTATGCATATTAAATGAAGTGCATTATCAGAGTGGTTGCTACCAAGCTTTTGGATAAGTAGGGAATAAGCCACCAAATGCAGTCAAGTATAATTAAGTAGTCATGTAATGCTCAAGGGCTGAGACTTGTTTAGAAGAATTTGCTCTTGCTTGTACCATATATTTTGAATTGATGTAGTAATAACAAGGCTGTGGTACAGAAAATAGGCGATCACTTTGAAAAAGCTGTGTGTGTCATTGAAGATACCAGCACTGAAGAATTTGAAGTATGATGGAAAACATAAAAGTTAATCTATTTTGGAAAAAAAAGAATTGAAGCAAAAGGCTTTTAATTAGTTGGATTTTTACCTTGGGGGAATAAATAAAAAAGAACAACTCTGGGAATTCAGAGACATGCAGAACTATAAAACAAAAAAAAGGTGGTATTTATTTTCAGTTAGGATTTGGAGATTTTTTACAGCAGAAAGCTCTAATGAATCCATGAACAATCTTAGTTTGTTTTCAAAGTGGATTTAAGCTATAATGAAGAAGTGAGAGGGAGAAGTTAAGATAAACTTTACCTGAATAGGTTGCTGAGTTAGGTGACTTCTTCCTGTATGTCTCTGTGATTGTGCTGATCTTCAGCGGGAGTTTTCAGAAGTCTGCCAGAAATGTTATGTACCCAAATCTCCCACAGAGCCCTTAGAGTGATAGTCCTTTTTTTTTTTTTTTAACAATTGAGTCTTCCTGATTGCCTGATGAACTGGAAAAAATAAAAACATGAAGTCTGAGGAAACAAAAAATCTTATGTTCAGTCTATTTTGAGATGAAGGATTTGCCAAAAAGTATCTGAAAATGTATCAGTGTAGTAGTGGAGAGAGGAAGTTTTCTAATTTGAAGTCTTCAACACAAATACAGATGTCCACAGGGCACTGGAAAACACCAAGTCATTCTATGTAGGTCACCAAAAAGCTTTTATCTATCATGCTTGTCACTGCTGATTGGAGTTTTACCTGTGATCTGTAGGTGGAATCTCCATCTTATTACCATCTTCATAAGTAAGGCAAGAAATCTAGTTACCTTTTGGTTTGATTTTGATTATCCCTCATCCTGGCATTGATTGTGCTTTGGGAGTTTTTGCTGCTTTGTTTTTACCTAAAAATTACTAATTATTGGTACAATTGATTGACAAACCACATGGCTGGGAAAACAACATTTTGTTAAAAATGAAGATGAGAATAAATCTGCACAATGAAATAGCATGTTTTTGGCTTGCTGCGCTGGTTGCAGTTTCTGGCTTAAGTAGGGAGAACTAATTTCTTGGTGGTTTTTTTTTTTTGATATGAGAAGGAAAAAATATGCAGTTTGTGGCTTTCTGAATACCCCTAAAACACCAGTAATATCTACTAATCTGTCCAACTTAGAAATGTTGAGAGTATGACCTAGGATGTCATAAGTGGAATTCAAGTGATGTGCAAAGCTTGTGCTGGATCTTTGCTCAGGGCTGAATTGCTTCAGTTATTTAACTACTGGTGGTTAAGCTGCACTGCAGACCTCTTTTTTAACAATCTTTTACAAGGTTCAAGACTTAAAAGTGGCCTGTGTCTGGGTATGTGTGAACTGAACACTTCTCAGATTGCTTGAGTTAGGGGGTTTATATAGGTAGTCAGGAAAAGTTTATCCCACGTATCAAACATTAGTTTTGTTCTAGTAGCAGAAGCTTTCCAAGAACAAGATGTGTCCGTATCGTCACAAAAGGAGCTCCAGAAGAAGACAGACCTTTATCATCTTCAGAAGGTTAGGCCTGCATAGGCTTTACTGACTAGTTCCTTAACTTAATCTTTTAAGATGTAATTGTCTGTGGTTAGTTCTTCCCAGCTTGCTGGAGCTCTGAGTAAAGCTTGTGTATAAGTAACTCTTCTTAAAAATGAATAAGTACAAACTGTGTATATCAGGCCCACCTGACACACACAGAAAATTATAGAAAATATCTGTCATAAACTAGGATTTCAAAATGCAAATTAGGGGTTATCTTCTTATCTAATTTGTAAATTGCACATTCTGCCTAACACATATTTCTTTGAGTTTCCCAAACTCCTGCCAGTTTGAAAACTGAATGCACTGGCCTAAATGAAAATAACTGCACGATCACACTTTGAGTCATCATCAGCAAAAATTAATTATACATGTTAAACGTATAGATTATGTTCTCCAAAGAATACCTCCCATGTAGTTTTATGCTCCACTTTTTTTTTAAAGACTTTGTTGGAGTTGAAGGAGTCCAGGCGGTCTAAGAAACTGACAAAGTTTGAAATGCTTCGTTTTGAAGTTGTTGACTATATAGACAGTCTTGTAAGGTGAGCTTTCCTGTTTTATATTCCTGCATTACTTTGCACCATAAGTTACAACAGAAATTTTGCTAACATGTTAATCTTGTCAAAATTGTGTCTTGGTCCCTGTGGTATGAAGCACACTTTTTGTCCTTCCTATTCTTTCTTTGATGAGGGCTCCAAAAATAATAACTGGGAAAAAAAATCCAAAACTCTTTTCCATAGATTCGTAGAAGTAATTGGCACGTGAATTGACTAACGTATTTTGTCTACAGAAAAATGTTGAGGGAGGACTGGATATATGTGGCAAAATAAAGTCAAGAGTTTTTACCCTAATCTTTGCTGATCTGTTCTACTTACGAAACTCTATAGATGTCAGGTGTGATATCCATTTTGGGAACTGTTTCAGTGAGCAAGGCATAGCAGGTAGGGTTTTGGAGGCAGCTTTGTAGCAGAAAATGTGAAAGGGTTGGGGTGGGGGAAGAGATGAAGGCACTTGTTAATTATAGAGTCTTGGGGGGACAGGCAGAGAAGCTACGAGAAGTATGACTCTGCCAAGAGAGAGCTGCAAATATAAAGACAAAGATGAGCAGAGACTCATCAGGAGGCCTCAATGGATAAGCAAGACCTTAAGTTTGAATTTGTCAGTGGCCCAGCTAGAATTCTACACCAAATCCATTAGACATAGAGTTGTTAATAACTGACTTCCCTGCTTAAAAGTTGATTTCAGCGCTGTTCATCTTGTTTTTTCAGAGATTTGTCAGTACTAGTTGGGAAACATACATTCTTGTAGTCTCTGACTGCAGCAGACTTCTGTTGTTTCCCTTAAGGTAAAGCTTGCATCTCTCCTCCTTCCCCCATACCTCATGTTGCTTTTTCAGAAATTACCTTGTTCCTGCGGACCACAAGACTCTGCATGAGATAGTGTATTTCAACACAGCCAGTGTTCTCCGTGGGCACTTGAATGCTGCCCCAAGGACTGCACTTCATACAGCTTTAAATAACCCATACTGCTACCTGAAGGTAAGAAACAAGTGAGTTGTTTGTGGTGCTGGAGTAGTTTCTGAAGGCTGCATGTGAGGATGATGTGTAAGGCTTAGTTCTGCTGTTTCATGAAGCTTGGCACACGTTCAGCTGTTCTACAAAGAACCAGCAAGTTAGTGTTGATAAGCAACTGGGGACTTTGCAAAGAGCTAGGGAATCTGCCTGGCTGAAATAAAGCAGCTAATTATGGAAAGAGTTTTATATGGGGAGTCCATTTTCCAGAGCCTGTTCTTGGTCACGATCTTTTCTTTCTCCCGTAGATGTAGCAGAAAAGTCATTTTGTTCTCCATTACAAATGGGATGCCTGTCCATGGGGAAAAATACAATGTGTGTGGCTCTTTCCAGAGACTTTCTTTGCAGGACTGGTGCTTAGTCTTTACTGTGTAGACTTGCTGTCAACAAATTCACAGGATGATGGAAAGAAAGGAATAGAGATTTGGAAAAAGAGTGAACATACATTTCTTTTTGTCCTTTATTATAGATGCTACTTGGAGTTACCCTCGTGTCCCAACATCTCCCTTCAAAATGTGATTAGTTTTGAAGAAAACATCAGTTGTGGCTGTATCTGAGTGATTATATGTTACTTGAGTCCAAGCCAGTACTTATCAGGAGCCATACTTGATAAAGATCAGTCTTTGAAATTTACAGCCCGACTGGTACTGGGTTTGTTGGCACTGTGCCTCTGTTTGAATGAGAGCTGTCAGTTTTGCTGTGTGCAGGAGTTATTTCCAAAACCACTTCAAGAGCTTACTTGTGAAAGCAGTAGTTAGCGAGTGGGCTATTTGCCCTAATATGCCCTAATAGGAATTTCAGTAATTTATATATTTAGAAAACCTGTAAAAATATAGATTAGGAGAGCTAGCAAAATCTAGCTGCTAATGTGTTTAAAAAGTATTCTCGTTGATGAGTTGACAGGATTTAAAGCCCTCTGTCATCCTGCCCTTTATTCTTGGACATACTTTAACATATTTCTGATGTTTTCTGAGTAGAGGTGAAGGTTTGTCATAGTTTCTAACAGCAGCAGTATTGGCTGAGTACCTTGCTTAGCATTTTAATCCATGTGAATCGAAGAAATATTTCTGCTTAATGACTTCTGCATGGCTTGTACTTTCCTGGGCCATGACCAGGGCAAAGTTCTCTAGAGCTGTTCCTTCCAGAAGGCTAGGACAGAAAAGGATCTGCTTCAGTGGAATACCAGCAAATTATTAATGTGTGATGCATTTCTTAAAAGAATCTAGCCCAGTTATTTATTTAGCAAAACATGAACCAGGGATCATACTTATCCTGAAAAAAAACCACCAAAAAAGGTCTAATTCTGTTTTCAGTGATCCCCTGAAAATTCAACAAGTTGTAACTTGGAATGCCAGCAAGGCACTGCTTAGTGCTGTGTGGAAACCTGATCCTGGCTCTTCCTGGGGTTTAGATGGTCATGCAAGTTCTGTTCTCAGCCTTGGGTAAGGAGGGCTATTTTTCACATTGATCTCAAGGAATGAGCCCTATTACCCATGAAGATACTTTGATCAACTGAAAATCCTTGAGTTGCAGTTAAGCTTCTTTATCAGGAAAGGGGATGCTAGCGTTTGGTCCTTGGGAAAGACAGTAACGTTGATTCCAGAGATTCCAGAGCAAGGTACGAGTCTGTCCTCTGTCTAGCCTCTGGGGACAGGGTCAAGCAAGAAAAGCCCCTCAGCAGTGTTCTGGGTTGTTCTGCTCCCATACTCTTTCTGAAACTGCACCTCTGTGCTGTACGGGTGGTGTCACAACTGGCTGCTTGTTCTAGGGTAGCTTCCTGCTTGTCAGTCTAGTGATTTCGTTTTGGGGACAGGGTGTATGCTGCTGCCTCAGGAAGCTGAGGTTTCCCTGCACACAGCTGCAGCTCCCTCCTGCTGTGCTGTGAACACTTGGCCGAGTTGCCACAAGCGAGGCTGAATTCTTTCAGGTGCTGGTACAGACCCTGCCGTGCCAATCAGTAACATCTTTCCTGGATCATTCTTAGCACTTGTGTGTGGTCCAGCTAGGTATGAACCTGTTGGAGGAAAGTGCAGTTGCTCTAGAAGTTGCATCCTCTCTTGCTTGTGACAACTGTTCTGGGCTGGAAAATCAGTGTGAAGTGTCCAGCAATGCCAGAGTTGGCGCACGGGTGAGTGGTGGGAAGCCATGGAGTTAGGAGAAGTAGCAGAGGGGAAAAGAGAAAGGTGTAGGGTTATCCCTCTGGGCAGTGGAGAGACACTAGCTCAGCCAAAAGGTGTAACTTCACCTGTGCCAGTTAGTAGCAGTAATATTTGAAACTATTACGGTATGCTCCTCAGTTACAGTCTGATCAATTCATGTCTGGCTTGTAACATTTTGAGGGTTTAGCCATGTTACTCTGAAGTTATCTGGAGACCACCTGGACTGAATTGACAGACATTAACCTAATGTCTGCAGCTTTTGTGTTCCTTTTACAGAATAAATAAACTTGAGAATTTTTAGGCTTTCTGGAAATTGTGAAATGTCTCATAAGTGCTAGAGTCCAAACCGAACCTGAATCTCACAAATTGCAGGGAGAGAGACCTGGGAAAGCTAGAGATCCTTGAGCAAAGTTACATTCTTTGCCCAACCTTCTTTCCTGTCTTGAAGAGCATTTATGTATGAAGGTATCCTTGCTAGGGCTTTATGGACTTCCCAAAAGTAACTGGCATATTTTACTACCATGTGAAAGCATTTTAGCAAAAATGTCTAGGAACTGAAAGGAATGATGAGTGATTGTTTTCATGTTGAGAGAGCTGGCTGCTTAGAGTGCATGGAACTGGAAACAAAACTTACGAACTGATACGAAATGTTGTAAATTTCTGCAGCTCTACAGAAACTTTTGCTTGTGGCTCAGGTGGCTTTTTTACTTCTCAAGTAAATGGTTCAGTGCTGATGAGCTGAATTTCCTGACATACGGAATAGTTTGTGAGAAATCAGACTTCTGCCTTATACGTGCCAAGTTTCAAGCCAGAGAGAGATGATTGTTACATTTCAGAGATAAAACTCGGAGATGAGATAAGCAATTTTGCTTTTCAGTACATCTGATAGATCTATAGTAAGACTTCCTCTTTCCTTTTGGAGGGGCAAGAGCAAAGGGACACTTTTCTGTTTTCTACATAGTACAGTCTGAGGCAAGTCATTACTAGTTTTTTCTTTTCCTGAATACACAGAACAAACTATTTCTCTCTTGATATATAAATAGAACTAGTAAAATAATTAAAAAGGGGAAAAGCCTAATCAGATAATCACTCATTAGAGTACAGACTGCATAGGTGTACAAAACTGTAACAGGAACACCAGGAATGAAGTACTTGGGTGGATTTTGCTGGGTTTTTTGTTGTTTGGTTTTTAATGGTGTGTTTTCTTTTTTCTCCTTTGTACCATCAACTTGCCATTAAACACTTAACCAGTAAATATTTGGTTAAAATACCTACAGTGTGAATTTCCTGAAATAATGTTATACCTAGCCCTAGAGATTGTTCAAGATTAAAAACTTACCAAAGCTACTGTCTTTCATTTTTTTTCATCAGAATGAAGCTTTGAAAAGTGATGGAGGAAACATTTCTAATAAAGCCCCCGATATATGCATTGCATATAAGCTTCATTTGGAGTGTGGCAGATTGATTAATCTTGTTGATTGGTTAGAGGTATGTGACAATGCACACTTTACTTGCTTTCAGGATTGTGATTTATGCTGCATGTCTGCTTTTTAGTGCCTCTTTTGACAGCTTAAATCATGGCAAACCTCAGTCCCTCCTGTGGAAGAACACACAGTAACTCCAATCACCAGCCCACAGAGTCTTCCTCTGACTACTGTGAATCATTTATTTTCAGCATTATTACTCTGTGATGACAATCTTTTGCTTCTGCTTCACAGATCAGATTTTATACTTCACAAAGCTACCTTTTTTTCCCCCTTTTTTGAAGTATTTTCCTGGGCTTTTATGGAAACAGGCAAATGCTGCTGCTTGGCAAGTGCAGAGCTCTTGGAGAGAATGCTTGTGCTAGGGAAGAGCAAAGGTCCTTCTAGCCTGATACTGTCTCACATGGTTACCAAAAGCAGAACATACATTAATGTGATACATTCTCCAAATACTCCTTAGCTAACAATCATGTGTTAGCTCTAAAGTTACCTAAACTGGAATGGTTTCTCTGTGTTTTGTAAGCCTACCTGGATTACATGACCAATATAAATTTTTAGCCACTGCAGTATCCTCTAGCAAGAAATTCTGTAGCTTAACTACATGTAGTGCAGAGGACCCTCCTTTTACTTGTTCCAAGTATGTTCTGTTTGCTGCTGCCTTGTTTGTGTATTAGAAATAAAAGTGGACAGAAGATTCCTACCTAGCCTCCTGCTGTCCCTGAATTTTATAGATTCCTTCATAGCCAACTTAGCTCCTTCATTTTTCCAGAATGTTCAAGCAGTCTTTCTTTGAGAAGATTTTTCAGTTCTGTGTTTTTTCTGAAAATGGGTCAGGGACCGAACCATATTGGGATTTAAAATGCATGCACACGAGTTCATAGAGTGATGTCTTCCTTTCTGTGTTCCTGCCATGGTAATCTGTAACCTTGCTCTTCTGATTGCTGCTGAACTGACATTCTCATGGAGTTACCATTCAGAGATCTCATTCCTCCTGACAGTCATCAGCTCAGAGCTCATTATTTTATATGCAGCTCTGTCTATTAAATGCTATGTCTGTGCTGCTTTTCTCTTTCTAGGCTTTTTCAACTGTGGTGACAGCAGCTGAGGGACCAAATGCAGATACACCTTCCTCAGACCAGGTGGATGATATTATCCAGTATCCTTTCTCATGTCTCTCAAGTTTGACATTCAAATGCTTACAGGATTAATGAACCAGGATTTTTAAAAATACAGCTTCATGTGCACTGATAACCAATTCCAGAAAAATAAGACAACTAGTTTAAACAGCCTTAATGTACTGGAGATGTCACAGAAATAGATCAGCTGAAATGGTTGGGCTGGGGTGGTGAGGTAAGAGAACAGCTTTTGTCCGTAGAAGCTCTTGGGGTCTGAAACAAAACAGTCCTTAAAACAAGTTAAAACTATTCTACTTAGTTAAATCATCTGAGAGTTGGTACAGCTGCTGTATAGGGGGAGAACATTACTGGGGAACAGATGATTAGATAGCTGTCACCTAGAGAGCAGATAGAAAAATGGAGACAGTAGTTTATCATGAAGAAGATGGAAGCATTAGCAGAGGAAATGCTTACAAAAGTAGTGTCTCTGTAAAAGCCATTAGTTGTAGTACCTTAGAGTTGAGAATTTTAGTTCCCACAAAACATCCATTCTGTTTCTCGCTTTGTCCTGATTGTTAAGTGAGGTCAGAAAAATATTTTTAAAAGGATGAGCATTAGAACCAAAACTCACTGCTACAACAGTAGTGCTGCCACAGCAAAGTCATGAAGAATATGTACATGCTCTAATATGATACCTAGCTTTCCTTTAGTATAAAGCCTTTCCTTTTTCACAAGCTCCACTGGTAATTAACACAAAACTGAATTCTCTATTTAACTCAAGGATAGATGTCAGCAAGAAAGGTATAGTAAGTAAAGGTGGTGCTGTTTTATGAAACTGCAAAAAAAAAAAAATCTTCCCATTTTCTTGTCAAGGGACATAAAAGCATAAATTATTTTTTCTGAGAGACTACAAAATTAGTATCTTTGTAGTATCTTTGTAGGCTTAAGTTTCTCTTAGCAGTGGGGAAAAGGAACTCTTCCTTTGTGGCCACTTTGTATGCATGTAGCAAAATAAATACTGATTTGATTGAAGGTTTGTGCTCCTGTAGGCAAATCATGCTCTGCCCTTATTTCCTACAGTTTTAGTGTGCAACTCATTTTGTGTAATCTGTCCTTGCCCTGACTTAGAAATCTTTCTCTCCTGGAGAGAACGGCATCTCCCTCAATGTGTCATAAAAGGGTCATAAACTGTTTCCTTCACTGAAATGTCCAGTGCTCGTTTTATTCGAGCTGTTTCTGAACTGGAACTCTTAGGCTTCATAAAGCCCAGCAAGCAGAAAACTGACCACGTGGCAAGGCTGACATGGGGGGGCTGCTAATGTGCCACCGAGATCTCAATAAACCTGTTCTTTCTAACATTGTACAGGGGTGTCTTCCCTCTAAGCTAGTCCTTCTAGCTTTGCATACCGAGTCAAAGCTGATGACTGAATGCTGTGCTGAGTACCTGGGTAAGAGCTGAAGAATAATGCTATTCTTTAATACTCAGCGTGGGTAACGTACCACTCTCTTAATGCTCATGTTCCAAATACTGTCTTGTTGGGCCACTTTTAATCTTCTTTGATGTGTGATATTTAATATTATACCAATGTAATTCAGGCTAGCCAGGACCACAGTGGCGCTCTCAGTTACAGAAGTGATGAAGTGGTATTACTAACTGGATTATATGCTGATAGGTTTTGAGTCATCATTACAGAATACCTTCCACATCCTTGAACTACAGATTTAAAAATAAATAAACACAGTATGCTAAAAAAGACAATAAGCTTCCATGTTCAGCTACTGCTGCATGTTCTTCATGACCAGTTTTGGATTAACTCCCTGGAAACACCTTCATGAGGAGGAGAAACAGACAGAATAAGACATAACTGCTCTTGGAGAAGAGCATTCCTTTTTTCTAGTGAAGTTGATTAGTGCTAGCTGACTTGCTGTCAGGGGAACTTTTGTCAGTATAGGCTAAAGGAGAACATGGCACTTGTACACTGGAGGAAGGCAGTAAAATCCACAGCTGAAGTACACGCTCTAACTTTGCAGTTTGCTGAGGATTTGTACCATACACTAGCAAAGGAAACAGCTGGGTGAAAATAACAACTACTGGCTGAGAGTGTTAAAGTACTGCTTATCTATCTGACCGATCTTCAGTTAAAGAACCTTCTCAGCCACTTGGCCCTGTGCAGGAAGCAAGCCCAGGATCCACACCCTGAGCTTCTACTGATGTGGAGCAGTGCCTGCACCAAGTACAGGTGTACCAATTCTGTACTGGCTGTAGGAATGGGGCTGAATAGCTCAGCTGCTTCCGGTTTCATCAGGATCCTGAGACCAAAGAGCTGCTATTCTCTGCCTAGATTCAGACACAGATCAGTGCATGATGCTGTAACAAAAGGCACAAATAACATGCTCTGTCAAAACGCTGGAAAACCATGGTCATGGCTGCAGTTCTAGTCCCCAAGGAAGCCGAGGCTGTGTTAAGAGAGACCTACATCTGATTCCAGGTATCAGAGTAACATGGGTATGTCCTCACCAGCCCAGTCTTTTTCTCTTTGGCACACAAAACCCCCACTGCAGATCTCACTGTGTTAACCTTCACCTTGCCTCAGTCTTGGGTGAACAAATGTGTTTATGCTGATGTCAGTGTCCCATGTTTTCCAGCCCCTGAAAAAAGCCTTAGAAACCAAAGGGGAAAAGCCATGTTGCCCTCCAGAACAGTGTGTGTCTGTCATACATTGATAAACTCTCCCAAGGGCCAGGACATGTGCATTCCAGCAGCATGGGTGGAGACTGCAGGTCAGTCTTATCACCTGGGAAAGGGCTGCAGTTAGAGAACAGCGTTTAGACTTTGTCCTTCCCAGCCTGCTCAAAAGTTGAATGGTGATTGATTAGTTTATTGTGAAAGACTGCATTTACCTTCAGAAAACTCACAGGCTTCCTCAGCTGACTGAGCGGATTACAGACTTCACTCTGCTCCTATTTGAGGCATTTAAGTGCTGCTCTGAGTGCATGTGTTCAGCTGTCACTAGAATCCAGATGCTCCTACTTTGTTACACTGGCACTTCAGCCTACTCAAAACGAGTTTAAAAGGATAGCCTGGAGCTCGGAAGACTGAATCACTTGCATAAACCCAATCTGTGCTGGGAGGGGGGAAGCCAGGCTGTTTACCCCCAGGAATGTATGCAAGAGAGGCTAGGCTTGTTTTAAATACCTTCAGTGAGGGCAGGAATCATGCATTTTCTGATTACTCTAACTGCAGAGACACAGTAACATTTCCTGTGCTACTTCAGGCAGGGCCCAGTTCTAACTGTTGCCATGCAAATGAAGAGGCTGAGGAGCAGCAGTTTCTAAGCCTTTACAGTGCCTAAACATACGGCTTGGGAAATGCAAATATGAAAACTCAGAGCAAAAATTTTTAGGATCTCAGTGGGGCAATTGCAAAAGTTCCTCTCTTCTACCAAGACACGGGGGTTAACAAACCCAATGGTTCTTTACTCCAGAGACCAAGCCAGGGGACCTACAGAGTATTAAGTCGTTTTATGTTAGGATTTCAAGCAGAAGAAAGTGAGAAATTTCAGGAGAGGAATGCTGAATAGCCTTCCTCAGTCCTGAACCTCACCTATTTATCTTGCAAATACACTTGACAAATGCAAGGGAGCAGTGAAACAAGTGTCTCACTCATCTGCAAAAGGACATGGAGCCAAGTGCTGTGCACAGCTGTCCTCTGCCACCTGCCTGCAGCTTCCCCTCCCCAACCTCGCCCAGTGCCAGATAAGCCCACACCATGTAACTTTCACACCACTGGAGGGTAGGATTTTTGAAGTTAAATATTTGCTGTGCTATTTGTGGTTTCTCAGGAACAAATCTTTAATTCAGTACTTGGCAGTTCAGACTGTAAGATGCACAAAGGGGAAATACTTGACTAAAATTATGTACAAAGTACTGTGCAATTTCATTTTCTTCAGCAAGGAGGGTAGGAAGGTTGGACAGTTAAAAATACAAACTAAACAAAACTGGTCAAATTTCAATCAGTTTGCCCTTCTTCAGAGGCTGGACTTTGTAGTCAAGAGTCCTAGCTCCTTGGGAAGAGCTTAACATTGCTAAATTCTGAACCAACATCAGTAACAGCTGAGATGCTACAGCTATAAAAAAAGCACCTTCTGCTTTTCCTCCTTTCATGAAATTCTGGTATTAGACCCCTAACAGCACCAGGCTTTCTGTTTGCAGAGGGTCTGGCTATATAGCATGGATTTTACATTTGGCTCCTCTCATATAAACTCGTATCATTTAATTTAATTCTTTTATTTCTAAATATTCCAAACTCACCCTCATATAGCTTAGCTGAAATACACACACAGATTTCAACTGCAACTATAATTTAAAAATGTTAGTTTATACAACTGTCCACATAGCAACAACAAATTCTGCAGATACTCCAGGAAAACTTGTCTGTCTGCAATGTTCACTGAAAGCAAGACAAAAAAAAAAAGCCAATATTTGTATTGTGGTACTAGCTCTGAAACTGTAACAAGGTAAAGCCTCACCTCTGAACGGATAACTGTTACTGTATTCTTCAGTAGGCACCATCTTTAACAAACCACTGCCAAAAATCAGACCTGAAAGTAAGCTGACTCATTTGAACAGTTTACCATTTTCCTCTACTGGTACAGATGCTGTTCTCTGACACCTCTTTACACTACTGCACTAGTGGTTTCAAACACAAACTTTGTGATTTTTATCTCTGAGCATCCAACAGCAGGAAAATACAATAAGCCAGGTGCCTGTAAAAGCCAAACAGTCATCCTCACACTTCTCACCTAAGAGAATGGCTTCCAATACAAAGGTCACAAGCACTGCTTCACAAGAGCATGAACTCTTAACACCTCACCAGCCTTGGTTTTTTCCTCCCATCTATGTAATCATAGAGTTAAATCCTTCCCAACTCAGCAATGAAGAGAGCTATCACAAAACACCCTTTCTAACCAGAATCTGCTAATGGTCTTGCTGTTCAAGAGTAAACTGACATCTCTCAAGCATCGGCACACAAGATTGCTTCAAACTCCTTCCTTTTCTACTTTGAAAAACGCTTATGGTTGTATACATCTAGACGCAAAAAAAATCAACACACAGTCAGGATGTACATGCTGCTTTATAAGTACACAGTAACTGAGATCTGCTTGGAAAGAATTTATACATCTCTACTTTAACAGGTTAACCAAGATCTTTGGTTTCACTCTGTCAAGTTGCAATGAACTATCCTCAGCTTGCTTTGCTTTTGGATAGACTGCAGTTACATGCAAATTGCAAAAATAGTCTAAATGTGGCCACCACAAAATGCAGTTCCAGGAATTCAGTGATTATTGAATCTTGCCCAGTTCTCCTTTACTGAAGTCTCTGAAAAGGCTCTCCAAAGCAGGTTTGTTTTTAAGCACCAGCCTGCTCCTCACAGCACCCCAATTTTCCTAATTTTTTCAACAGTAATCGAGCAGCCAACCATTTTCCTGCTAAAGAGTAAGTCACCTGTTAGAACAAGCCTTTCATGTGAAATTAATCACATCAGACATTGGCACCAAGATTAGGAAAAGACAAGAGTTTACAGGTTAAAAACAAAAAATTTCAAAGAATGCAAAATGAGCACAAATTAAGCATACCACAGCTGTGATGCACAAGCACCCATGGTGGCATTACATTTAATCTGCCAAAGACTGCTTATTATGCATTAATTTGGAGCAGTACAGGAGTGGCTGGGTGCTAACATGACATCACTTCTTACCTATAGTAACTCTTACTATCCCAAAGAAGATAAGTTGAGACACAGAGACAATCACAATGGCTTGTATCTTAAATTCTACTTCTATCTCAAATTATCAGTTAGGCATACACCCATTTCTATTGAGTCAGAACAAGGATCTTCTAGAACACAGGAGATACAGGAGATGTATCAGGATGCTGGAATTTGGGCAGTAGTCCACCTAGAAGCAGTGGTTTTCCTACCCTGGGTAAGTAATAACAAAAGGAGGTCAAGAAATGAGCAGGAA